AATAAATTTGTATCAATTTACACGTTTCATAGAATTCACGCACACCAGTCATTCGCTAAAAAGAGTTTTTTTTTATTTTCACATTATTCTTGATATTTGGACTCATTACAGGCGTCCTATCAGTCGTTCTTGTGACCACGGAACCTATAAACACAAAATAGATACTTAGTATTTTAAAGGATCCGAAAAAGCGAGACCAATCATTTATCTATACATATCAGTTTAAAAAGTGTTTTGTAAAATGAAGATGTGTTTAAATTCTTACCTTTTGATTGGGTTCATTTTTAAATAATGAATGATATGATAATGAATTTACTTCTAACGTCGGTAAGGATGGCTATATGGCATGGATGAGACGCGCAAAAGGCGTAGGCGAAAAAATCAAACGGAATCGACCATTGCTCCTCCTCCTACATGAATCATGTTAAACATTCATAATTCAATCGTGTTCACAATCAAGCTAATTTTACAATTTGCTAACTAATCATCGGTATTTACGGAATTTTGACTTCGTTGTACCTACCAACAAGGCCAAAACATCGATTATTCCCGTTACTGAACACAATAAGAAAATCTACGATAAATGTGATGAAAGCTATTGTTTAAAATTAAATGTATGTAAAATTAAAAAAAAACACTCGGTCCATGTGAAATTCATTATTACAAAATACAGAGCTCATTTTTATACAAGAATGAGTTTGGAGCCCTAAAATTAGTTCGTCAAAGATTTTTCGTTGCCAGCAGAACGAACACAATAAAAGTGAAGCTGTGGAAAACCATGAATTAGAGGGTGAAATAAACTAAGATTCAACCGGACATAACAAGTGCTACTGTTCGATTGCAAAATATTTCAAACGTTGACTCCGCAATCTGTATTTCAACATTTTCAGACAGTTACAGCCTTTCTGATTTGAGTAATTGTACAGTGAATGAATTAAAGTAATATTTCTTCTTAACTCAGTTAATGCATATGGATAAGTATAGATGTGATTGTGAATTGATCGTTTTCCTATCAAAATAGGAAAATCTTCATTTTTAATAACGTATTTAATAATAACATATTATGATGTAATCAATAAAATAACTGGCATAAACACATTTTTTATTTAATAAAAAGAATCACCACTCGCTATGGTCAATTATTTTTCAGGTTTCACTGAGTTTGCTTCTTTGTATTTCCTTAGTTCAGAATAACTACTTTGGTATTCTTTGACATGAACCTTTTTGTGGATCCAATGTCATTGGTCACAATATAGCAAGGTCGACAGGTAATTCAGTTGCGGATAAATGTGAACGACCCGAGTGCACCCGATAAATTCATTGCAAACACGGACCACTTATGAATCATCTCAACGGTCTTTTCCGAACCACTGGATATGATATTATTTTTATTTTTACATACAGTCCAATCGAACAATGTACAAGTATTATTAGTTTATAAATTGAAGTTAACTCCAGTACTTTGAAATTCAGCTGTGATGAGTCCTTTATGATTTGCTAATTAATTACTTTGGCTCATAGTGTCGAAATCTAGAGTCTTTGTAAACTTGATGACCACCGCCAATCTTGTAGTCGCTCGCCTCTTTTTTGCACAAAAAAAAAGAGAATCTATCATCTTTTTTTTTGTTGAGTTAACGAACAACTGAGTACCAGCAGGTCAACTTACTTCGTTATTCGTATTCACTAAAGAAAAGGTACCTTAATTAACTGTTTATTCAAATCGAAATAACTTTGTCAAAATTAAATATGACTAGACTTATTTAATAACATTATGAAGAATGTTATTTAAAAAAAAACAGTCTCATACACTCATTATCCTTTGTAGAGAATGAGACGAGGAAACTAGTAATTTAGTTTATTATAATTTTATTTTAAGTATTTTACTGTATTAATCTAAAGAAAAAATATATTATAAAACTGATTATTTCATATTAAGTTTAGATAATCATAGCAGAATCAAGTCTATTCTCACAGGCTATTGTCTACATTATACGTATAAGAAAACTTCAATAAGGTACGGAATGATTTAAAATCTGTTTTATCCTAGCTTTGTGGCGTTGGTATTTGTCACAAATCGAACAGCAGTGTTACATCATGATGTAACACTATGGTGTTTGGTGACATCACAAACACCATATTATCGTCAAAGTAGTCACAGTCACGACTAGTGAGCACTTTCACATTCTCGGTAGCGTGACACCTAATGTAAATAAATACTTTAAAAAGATTCATTCATATGTATGAGAACAGATTTTATACAACCGTTAGTTATCGCTAAATCGGTATTTGATTGTGATACAAGAGGCCGTGTTGATAATTGCAACGCAAATTGTTTTCATTACATTGCGGTATGGCAGAACATTATCGATAAAGACAACATGAGATAGTTCAATAAACATAGTATATGTTAACCTAAGTTTACTGTACACATTATGGTTGCGATAAATTTATTTGTGTTTAACCTCCATGATATGAAAACAAGAATCCGCAATTAGTACCCCGGCTGCATCTGCATTCGTGTCAACCGTCAATCCATATTTCTAGTTCTCCCTGTTATATCCATAAGGAAGTCATGACTGCCCCTACAGTATGGATATTATCAGGTTGATGATGATGACAGTGTGGGAGACAATGGTTGGTTCGCTAGTGCAGTGCAGTAAAAACACAAACAAATACAATCACCTCTTTATTCTCGTTCTCTCACATTTTATAGAATGTATATAGTATTCAAATTTCCCAATCTCATATACGAAAGAACAAAGAATATTTTTTGTACACCTTTTGGTTTATCTAATGATTTTTTTTTCTTTTGTCTACTTTGTGTCGTTTCTTATTTCATTATATCTCCTAGATAAATAGAGTAAATGAAAATTTATTGATATATTTTTATTAATTTATATAGTAGTATTTATTGTTTTGTTCGTACGTTATTACAATCATCACGTGTAAACAGTGATTACAATAGCATATTAATTATGATGAAGTAATATTGCCACTCATTTCGATAGCGTAATTTAAGTTAATGACACCTGCATGATTTTTGTTACTCGCAACAGCGTCATTACAATGCCTTATGCTATTTTTAATTTTATTGTATTAGTTTCAAAGCTGTTTTAATTGCCTTCACATAAACGTGATACATGGGTTATCTTAAGAAAAAGCATCTCTAAACAAGTAATGTTTGATACTATTTCAAATCAAAATTTCATTGAGTAACGAATGGACACTGAAATAGTTGTTGCCAAAACTAAAATTAAATTTGCGGGCGAGTGCGGTGTAAGGCAAGAAAAACAAAAACGTTAATATTAATGAAGATTAAATATTTTGAAAATATTTGCAACGTTTTCAATTAAAGTAAGGGTCCAAATCTAAAGGACTGGATTAGTTTTAAAAAAATACAAAATCGATAGCTTTTCTTGGTAGAACTTCCAGCTCTGTCTGATTAAAATGTGTGGTAACTGTTTTCTGTTGCGGTTATAATAAATTTAATACAAACATATCTATCAATATTCACTAGGTATATTTTAGGATAGTTAGTTGAAAAAACAAGTTCTTCAAAACACTGAACATTTTATTATAATTATTAAGACCGAGATGTATCAATTTGAATCATAAGCAATACTTCTTTGTTCTGTTGCAAGTATATAGTGGGAAGTTTGCAAACTGAAATGTAGAATAGGGTTTTAAAAGTAGTTTTCCAAAACCACACAAGGACAATAGATGCTTGGATATTTAATGGAATTATTTCTTTCTCGATCAAAGAGTAACAGGGGCAACCATTAGCATTTTATTACGCAAGCAAGGCGTCAAGTAGGCCGCTAAATCGGGAAGACCTTCACCCGCATTTCGAGATCCCGAGGGGCGTTACGTTACACGAATAAATAGTGACGGACTAACACCGATTAATCAACCAGAGTATTTATTCGAAAATATGTGAAGAAAAACCCATTGATATGTTGTCATTCTGTATTCATTTCTATTACCAGAATAGAACACCATTTAGTGGCGTTGCGTTTAAAAAACTGCAGTGCAACCATTAAATGACAAATTATTAAGCTTTCATAAACCTCTAAAGACGATCTTTATCTACTAACGTTTCGGCTAGTTTATTACGAAATGCTAAACATTCACCATCATCATCTGATTGGAAATCTTCAATACCATGTCGTAGAATACAAAATTGTGATGAGCAAATGTCTCAAAATTTTAATATATTTCAAAAACTAGTATTATAAACATTTGGTCTCGTGTAACTCAGCACTAGTAAACAATGAGTACAACGCGATTAAACAATGCAGTCGATAGCTCCACACAATTAGAAGGGAGTACTAACCTGACGTGATTTCGCAAATTGGCACACACGAGTGCGATCGCACACAGCAACTGGTTTAGATTAGTAGAACGATATATATGTGCTATTACAGGAAGTAGATGATTAATGATCAATCTACGGGATAGTAGAAAGGGGAAAGCCAACACAAATGGACCGTTCTTCTTCTAAATACCTACATACTAAATCTTATAAAAGACCACGATGCACAAATTTTAGGATATCAGATACAATACATAAAATAGATGAACAATTATAGATTCACCAAGAATTAATTTATTAATAACCAGAACAAAATACGAAGAATAGCCGATATAACCTAGGGAGACTCCATATAAGATCAATTATAAATTATGGTTTGCCTTCATAGAGATGGTTCGACTGGTCTGTGTCGACACAATAAGATTTCGGTATAGAATGACATTGAGACGGATTGCTATGTCGGTACGGATTAGGCAATCGGCACTTGCCAATTTCCTCATTATATATAGTGTTAGGACAAAATTATCTTATATCTATTTCATTATTAAACCTTGGTTTTGTTTTCCTGGTTCATATAAAGAAACCTAATAATTATAAAGACGTAGTCGAAATAAAAAGTATTTTAAAAACATTTGAAAACAAAATGTTAAGTAGGAATGAATAATTTAATTTTATGAAAATTACTTACCTGTGCTCGTAAACTCTTCAGAGCAGGAAATTTAGCCAGTCTATCTACCTCGTCCCACGTTGAGAGGTCTGTGTTGTTCAGGTTTAGAAATCGGAGACGCCTGGAATCGTAAGTACAAATGATATAATAATAACACGCGCATAAGGGATTTCAAGGTCAAATAACTCCAGTTCAGTGGGTCAGTGATAATGGGCGATAGAGTCACTTTTACAACGAAGTTTCGAAATGATAAGATAGCAATAGCATTAAAGCATATGGAACAGATATAATTTGAGGCAAGGATGTTTTCTGAGGTTCCTCCCATATTAGCAATAAGGAAGTAGGTAATTTTGTAAATTAAACTAGAACAAGTTGTTGATAAAGTGGTATTAATTTTTCAGTATTAACTATTTATTAAAATTTATTAGCAAGTTTGATGAAGTTTTTGATGTAGCAAATTTTCGACTAGTGACCTCGTGGAAAGTCAAATGGAAGGTAACTTACGCGAAAGCGTCGTGACTTTTCTTATTTCCATTACTATCGCAACATTTTTCGCACGGATCTGGCGCTAGCGTCGTTATAGGACAGTCGTTGACCAACAACGTTTCTAGGTTGGGGAAGGCGTAACCTAGTTTCGATATTTCTCGCCAGCTACTGATAGGGTTTCCAGAAAAGTGTAGTTTCTTTAACTGTTCGTGGACTGGTTCTGTCACTTCCACGTTTAGTCTGGAGCAGTCTTCACATTTGTCCTTCTCATTAGCTTCCTTGCCGCTGAAGTCTATGTACGTGTACTCGTTGAGGCTCAAGTGCAACTCTTCAAGAGCTGGAAGAGCCTTGAGTATCTCGTACACACTAGGCCAGCGTAAGTATGTCGAGTTTAAGACTAGGTGACTGAGACTGTCCCAACGGGGATGTAATGCCTGTGCTGCTTGAATTTGCGCTGAGAGACGATTAAAACTTAAATTGAGGAATCGGACGCGCGGTGTATGCTCCAGTATCGCAAATATCTAAAACAAAAGAAAAATCCTGAAAGATGTTTTAATCAAGGAGTTTGTGGTCATAGTGTTTGCTCTTCGGACAACAACATTTTAGTGAAATTCTTGAGAAATTTACCTCTTTCCATTCGGTCAACTTGTTATTGGCAAGATCGAGTTCAACTACATCTGCGCATTTATCGGCGAGTCCTCTGGCTTCTCCTGCGCAATCAATCTCGCAGTCGTTGAGCACCAACAGCGTTGGTACGCTGAGTCGCGGAGATCGCTTGGGCACGAATATGGCCACCGGCATATCGTCTATAGACGGATTCACCTCGCCTTTCGCGCCGTACTTGCGTTCTAGGGCTTCTAGCAGCGACGGCATATTGTCTGAAACAATGAAAAGAAAGAAATATATTTTCTTATGTTTTTATGCAGACTCTGTAACTTTAAAAGTGCGTATGTATATGTACTGTCCACCTGTAGTAATACGTTAAGATGTTTTGTAAAAAGTAGTAAAGTTTAGGTGATGGCGTAACCTTAACAATGAAACCTTGAACTTAATGACAGAGACCTTTGTGTTAAATACATCAAAAATTGTAATAGGTGTAACGAAAAGAGTTAAACTAGGTTAAATGTCCGTTTAGAAATTAATGAATGACTAAAGGCCGTCGTAGCTCAGCTGTGCGCGCGGCTGGAATAAACAACCGCGTGTTAACAGCTTACTACGTAACAAAGCGGAATAGTGATTACAAGGACTAGTCGAACTATACGCGTAAGTTGTGTATCGAACACGATTTTCATGAATATTTGATATTTTATTAACTAAGGTCTTTGTAAGGCGTCGCTGTAGTGTCAAGCACGTCAATAAAATCCACGCCATTACATCCCTTGACAGAATATTGAAGGTAATGATTGATTGATTGAGATTATATTAATATAAATAATATTCTTATAGACACCAACTTAAGATGGTCCACGAATAGTGAGTAGTGCCAGCGTATCCTCTATCTATTAGACTATTTGGGCATGAAAGGTTCACTACCACTTGAGCTACGGAAAAGTTACTGTGCTTCAACTATCTTCGCGACTGGATTTCGCTTACTGAGGCGGGGTCATTTGATGCACCCTATGGGGTAAAGTAAAAGTAGTAGCTAGTGGATACAGTTTTAAAATCACCATAGGTACTATTGAAAGTGTTTAAGGCAATCATTTATGAGATAAATGGATATATAACTAGTAGGTAATTGAAATGTTGATACGATTCAAATTGACGACCCCCGTGGCCGAGTGGTTTGTACGCCGACTCGAGAGGTCCCGGGTTTAAATCCCAGTGGGGGCAGATGTTTGTGTGGTGAATACGAGCATTTGTACTCCAGTCATGGATGTTTAATATGTATTTCTATATAAATATACTTATATATGTACAATATATGTATTCTATCCGTTACCCTAGTATCCCATAACACAAGCCTTACAGTGCTTACTTTGGGGCTAGGCTAATTGGTGTGAGTGAAGGAAATATATATTTTTATTATTTAGTTCAACATTATCTGCGGTTGATAGACAATACTAAAAATAACATACGCATGAAAGGTCATTTTAACGCTTGAATAATAAAAATAAAATGAGACTAGGCTATATTCAACCATGCGGATGCGTGTCGAAACGGTGCCAATAATACACGGATCGATCAATGATAATATTGATCCATAGTTGCAGTACGATATTGATGTATTAATATAAAGCGAAGTTAATTTTGTGTTTTTTGGAAGGTTTCAACTTCAGGTTGAAGAGGTTAATAGTAATATGTCTTATTGAACATAATCAAAAATTAGCTAGTTCAAATATCTATCTACTAAACTTTATGCAACTAATTGGTTTAACCAGAGTCCCTTATTTATATTGAGACACTACTATATATACCTTGGGAGCAATAATATTTTGTGTTTCACAACGTAACTGTCTATCAGATAGAGCTTTGAGAGACGGCGGCGTCGTCGTGACTGCATAGACAAGGCCATTATGTGCACTTACAATAATGTAGGTACATAATTAGATTATTGTCTTTGTAAGCGTGTCAAATGGAATGAAGGAACTATCTGTATGCATTGCTAGATTGGAAATTGAAAACCTACCTTGAACCAATATTCCTGCGTTCATAATTGACGTGCAAAAACAGTAACAGTATAATGATAAGAAATGAAAATGTTAATTCGTCCACGATTATGAAAACTATGTACATAATCTCGATGAAACATAAATTGGAGCACAAGTAGACCCTTGCTATTTATCTCAGATAGATGCAATAGCAAATGGCCCAAGGGCAATATCAATTAGTGGCTTTCTTTGAAGGATGTCGTGCCAGTCCCAGTAGCTTAGTGGACTGATGATAAAGTCATGAAATTTTCATTAACTACATTATTCACGTTCCAAAATTACCAACGCGGAATGACGTTCCATAAGTTAATAACTAAGTACGTGAAAGGTTAAAGAATGCTTGGTATATTTGACATTAATGTCAAGGTTACTGTTCCGATTACGCTCGTAGTTTAAGAAGGTTATAAGATATTACAATAGTGGAACACACATGAAAGTTCTTTTTCAGATGAAAGGCGAAGTTGAATAAGAGGCTACGAAATTGTAAATTTATCAATTTCATTGCTCATAAAGGTGTTATGATACATAAAATCCCGTTCTAGATTTGAAACAGCGCGTATAATGTTATTGCACATGTCTGCATGTTTTGGTTTGGCAACAGTTGATGTCCGTCCGTCGTTGTGTAAACTCTCATCACTCAGCATAACAGCTGTATAACTCGATACCAAATTAAATCTCTGTAATAATGAAAATGGTGTACACGTCATAGCCACAATTCCACAACAGAGAACCTCATTAACTCAGCTGTGGAAAATAAAAATGACAGTCGTATTAATTTTAATTGTCGTTACTTTGAACAGACAGCTTGACCTTTGATAGATCAAATCACTAGATATTGTGGTTAGTGACTGCAAGAATACGTTACGTAGTTTTTTTAAGTAACCTTTAATGTAGTAAAAATGGCTTATGGTTTTATAAAAGTTGCAAGCTGGACATTCCATAATGGTAAATGGTAGATGATAAGAGCAAAAAATGATGCTATTGTTTCTTTGCAGATTTGATAATTCTATTTCATTATATATTCTGTACACACTAATATAGATAAAAGAGTAACTTAGTTAAAGATACAGTACGAGGGCACAACTTATTTTTAATCTGAAAACTTTTCCACTAGCTCAGTGGTAGGAAAGAATATAAGAAAATGCAGTCAGACACCTGAATAAAGATGTAAAATACTTATAAATATGGGAACTACATATAATGAATAAATACATACACAAACGAATATGATATTGATTACAATACATTAATACATATATAAATATATATATATATAATATGAACGACGAGAGGAGAAACAATAAAAATAACTACATAGCGCAGAATTTGGGGCAATCAATAAGATAAATAGTGTTCCTTGAGATGTTTTTTGAAAACTGGGACAGAACTAGGAATCGCAAATTTTGTGCTGGCAGTGAATTTCACAGATGGACGGCATGTACTGATAAGGAATAAGATGCGAAGCCGGTGTTATGGGTGGGACATTACAGAACGGATTTGAGATGGGATCAGCAAGGATCTGTTGAAGAGTGAATGAAGGAAAACCGTTCATGGAGGATAGGTGGATACTAAGGATTATAGAGTATGTATATTAAAAAGAAGATTTCAATATCCTCTATAATTTCTATCTACAGACAGGGAGGTTTTGATTAAATATAATTGTGTAAAATATGTACTGTCAACTTTAATGTCACTATTGTTTCCGAGAATCATGAGTGGTTTCATTAGCCTCACACCAATTCCAGGTATGACGTAAATTTAATTGTGGCTTTAAAGGTATATTTATTCTTTATCTTCATAAAATTCTCGTGTAACAATGTTAGTTACCATACTTCTCCGATACGGCTTGACCGATTTTTATGAAATTTTATATGCATATTCAGTAGGTCTGAGAATCGGCTCATATCTATTTGTCATACCCTTAAGTGATAAGGGTTATCCATCCCTAACATTGTTATTTTATTATTTTGACATTTTTTCATTTTTATGTGGCAATAAATATTCATACAACCCTAAATTTTCACCCGTCTACCACCAGCCGCTATTTTTATGGCGGTACGAAGTTCGCTGGGTCAGCTTGTATAGTATATAATACTAGCTGACCCAGCGAACTTCGTACCGCCCTAAAAAAATAGGGGTTGTCCAGTGGACAAAATTGTGAATCTAAACCATTCTCAGATCCCCTTGAACACACACAAAAAATTTCATCAAAATCGGTCCAGTCGTTTAAGAGAAGTTCAGTGACATACACACTCACAGAAGAATTATATATATAAAGATTTATATTTGTTTCATGATATGGCAGCTTGGATGGCATGCTAAGTCGCAAAGCAGCAGTATAGTGATATTAGTACGCTACGTAATGTTTATGGTAATCAATAATATGAGAACTTGAAAAGCTTTTTTTAAGTAATGGACAATCTGTTCGCATTTTGATTATCATTTGAAAATGAACACAAAAGGCAATTTACAATAGATTAATTAACGTTACACACCGCAAGAGCCGTTGGGGAAGGTTGTTCTGAAAGTGAGTTCCAAGGTTGCGCCGTAGTGGTTGTGAAGTGTTGTGTTTTAATTGGAGGTGGGTAAGGGGCGAAATCTAATTAAACAAACCGGTATGGATTGTATGATAATGTTAAATAATGTTTTTTTTAGTCACAAAACGTCACGTCAAAGTATTAGTCAGTGGTACTAATTACTCGCTTTTGATATCAGAAATGCCTTATGATTCGAACTTTTAAAAACCGGCCAGGTGCAAATCGGGTATCAAGTAGCCCTCTAAAAGCTAAACTGTTGGCTTGAAAAACCTGGAAAAAATTATGATAATAGTTATTTTTATGAACTTTTAAGGAAAACTATAACGGTTAAGATAGATTTGTTAGTTTCAGAGTAATAGTCGTTGAACTTTGTTTAAAGAAAATTACTTACCTACTGAAAATTCCTTAGAAGAAAACATTAATAGTGACATAGATGAATTTATTGTGGCGTAAAACCTTGCATATTTGCGGTATTTAAAAAAAATATCGAATTGATTTTAGTTTGAGACGCAGTTTGACTTTTTTTTAGGTATTTTAGTTGAGATAACTGACGACCTCCCTAGCTGAACAGTTTATACGCGCCGGGTTTCATGGTGTCTATCCCTTACCCTAGTATCCCATAACACAAGCCTTACAGTGCTTAATTTGGGGCTAGGCTAATTGGTGTAATTGTTGGAAATATTTATTTATTAATAAATAGTTTGATATGAATTGTTTCTTTTTTATATTAATTGCCGAAAATAAAGGCTCCTGCTAACATATATTGTGGTAATTACAGGCAACTACGGAAACCTACACTGCGCGTGGCACAACACGCACTTGGCCGGTTTTAAATGAAGAAATATATTTTAAATATTAAATAAAATTTGTTAGTATATATTTGTTTCTTAGGTTTTCACGCACATCACTCATTTAATAAAAGAAGATAAATAAGTGCATCTAACCCGTTGAAACTTGTTATAATTGTTAGTAAGTAGGTATATAGTTTTAAAAAGTCTTTAGTTCATTGACATTATTTCACGGTACAATAACTAGTAGGTAGACCGTCTTCAGACTTCAACCGGTCTATTGTTATTATTATATAACTATTAGATAGCTAAGACTGAAAAAGGGAAGTTGTAAGGGTTTGTTTTAACTTTAGGGGTAAATATTTTTTGGAAGTTGGCAATACTTTTTTACACAGTTGCTTCAACGTTAAACTATGCCGTGGTTCTAATATTATTTAATATATAGTACTGTGGGACGGATTTTAATAAATTCATAAGTTGTTTGCATTATCTCAAAGGTGTAGTGACCGGCACACCCCGTCTCGACGGCAGAGGGCACCGAACCACAGGACAGACAATGTTTAGCTGGTCCTTTTGTGAAAATTGTCTGGTTTAACTTATCAGACAATGAATGCGGGTTAGGTTAGTGCAAAAGTTAATTAAGAATATTAGAGAGATTTATATGAATGTTGTTTTACACACAATACAAGCTAGATAAAATTATTCCATTCTGTAAACACTTCGGTAGGTACTATATTAACAAGTTATTATGTACCTATGCATGTTCTTTTAAAAATTTCTGATTACTTTCAGTTTACTAATAATATGTTGTACAAAATTTAGTACCT